TGGTTGCAAAAGTGGACAGATTTTTTCTCGCAAAATTAACACATTTGAACAGATAAATTGATGGTGCCGATAATAGTTGCATTCTGACAAATATCGGTTTACAGCTATCTCTATATTCCATATTGAAAATCAATCTTACAATACGTTTTTGTGCTACAAATATCCTATTAAAATCTCTACCAGAACCCCAAGACATTATATTGAGTGAAATATGGGAATAAGCCATAGCGAAATAGATTGCCAATAGACCTTGTTGGTCAACACAGTTTTTCATTTGCTTGATCGCAAAATATGCTTTATTTAGTTTTTTACAGACACTATCGATGTGTTGATCCCAACTTAATGTTTCATCCAAAATTGTTCCTAAAAATTTAACTTCGTTTGCTGCATTGATATTGATATTATCGCACTGAGCTAATTCACTTATGGTACCCCTACTTCTATTATAAAATCTCATCGATACCGACTTTGAGGTATTCAGAACTAGACGATTACGATCACACCAGCTTGTGAACTGGTCTATAATCAGTCTAACTCTTGTTAGCAAATCATCTGTAGTAGGTCCAGCGACTGTAATGGTGGTGTCGTCAGCGAACATAGTTAAATGGCAGTCACTCATATAATCCGACAGATCATTGACAAAAATTAAAAACAATAAGGGACCAAGAACAGAGCCTTGGGGAACCCCCAATCTAACCTCGCGTTCATTAGACATTGAATTTATTTGCTTTACAATTATGCTACGACCACTCAAGTGAGACCTAAACCATAGTACTTCTCACATACATGTGAGAAGTGCGAAGAAAATTTACTGAGGTTACCTACCGAATATACTATAGAAACGGTGAACGAAAAAGATATAGTAAAAGGACAATTTTCAGTTATTCGAGGGGTTCAGCAATATTAGTGTATGCAATAAATATTAATTATACTAATGAAGGATACGAAGTGAGGAATGGAATTCTGACAAACAATATTTTGGACAAACTTCTAAAGTAAATTTTCAATGGTCCTTTCGGTAAGCAATCAATTTATCGATTTTTCCACGTAATGAGTATTTTTTTTGCTGGTATCTTTTTGGCAACACTGTTTTTGACAGATCACGCGTGAATCGTGTCTTATGTCATTGTCAAACTTGTACAGTTGGGTCTATAATTTAACCATGAATCAACTTACGAATGATCAACGCTTGCAAATTATTGAATTTTATTATCAAAATTCATGCTCGGTGAAGAAAGTGCATCGTGTACTTCTTCCAATTTATGGACAGTTTCGTCGGCCTACTGAGGGAGCTATTCGGAAGCTTGTGACTAAATTTCGAACCCAGTTATTGGACATTAAACCACCAACACGCATACGTAGAGTGAGAACCGAAGAAAATATTGCGGTTGTATCCGCCAGTGTTCGTGATGACCGTGAAATGTCGATTCGCCGCCGTTCGCAGCAGTTGGGCCTCGGTTACTCCACTACGTGGAAAATTTTGCTGAAGGAATTGGGTGTAGAACCTTATAAGATACAGCTGGTGCAAGAATTGAAGCCACACGATCTCCCACAACGTCTAACATTTGGTGAATGGGGGCTGGCAAAGTTGGAGGAAGATCCACATTTTTATCGAAAAATTTTATTCCGCGACAAGGCTCCTTTCTGGTTGAATGGATACGTTAACAAGCAAAATTGCCGCATCTGTAGTGAAGACCAGCCACAAGCATTGCAAGAGCTACCGACGCATCCCGAAAAACTCACTGTTTGGTGTGGATTATGGGTCGGGGGCATCATCGGACCGTTCTTCTTCAAAGACGACAATGGCCGAAACGTTACTGTGAATGGCGAGCGCTACCGTGTGATGATTGACAACTTTTTGTTGCCCGAAATGGGCAACATTTCGGGCAACAACATGCCTGGCCGGTAAAGCGAGTGAATTCTCTCCGTGAAGTGAGGTTTTTCCACGACATTGAATAACGGATTACTTCGTCCACTCGAGATCGAAACTTTTGGATTAGCCGAGGAAAAATTTGGAAAATAGTCGTTGGTGAGATTTTATGTACTTATCTGAATAACATTTGTATGAATTTTGGGAAGGAGTTAGCCAAAAAGTAGTATACAGAGTGGCGCAAATGTTTTTCGTGTGTTTTGATTCTTTTAAAGTTTCAAGCCAGTATTGAAATGTCACAGGCTGGTCGAGCTGAGTATTACAATCACTCTCCGTATACGATAGCATAGTCGGCGAAGGCACGCAAAAATAGATGTTGACGTTAGGAAGTAAAAACTAGTAGTACCTTCAGTACACTGTTTAGTTTTTTTCAATTGTTAGTGTCTTGCATACCAGAAATTCAGTTTGTTTTCCTTCGTTTTGTTTATCATCCACCGATTCTTATTATTACATTTTTTTGTTGTTTTGTTGTTCCTCAGTTTTTTATTTTTTTATTATTCAATATAATATTTTATTTACAAAGTCGAGTTTTCTTTCAAAACTCCAACTTCAAAAGCTGCGAACTCTCAAAATTCTAAGATAAACCTATTTAAGACCTTTTCTTCGTGCAAAAGGGCGAATTCATGTTTTCTTTCGGACATAGCCTACTAATCCAAAAAATTTGATGTGAAGTTAGTACTTCACAGAGTCCAAAAAAAATCAAATTTTACAATAGTCAGGAAGCAACTTCCAAATCTCCAGTATTTCATTAAAAGCACCAAAACTTTTGGCAAACATTTTAATTTTGGAAAGTAACTTTTTGAAACTCAAAAGTATAATAAAATGTCAGTCTATTCAGGCCGGAGGGATAGATTTGTTTTCCACAATATTTTTCGAGGGGCCGTTCATTAATTAATCACGTTAAGCTTGCAAGGGAGAGGAGGAGGTTTAGCAAAAATGACGAAATATCACAAGGGTGAGGGGGTGTAGTGAGATATCACGTGTATTTATGTTTTCGTAAACCGCGTGATTTCTAAACTGGAGCGGCATGTTTTGTGACTTCTTAACGTTGCAAGGCAAAGCACTACGACGACCGCCCGGCTCGGCTTGCCAGTCGTCAGTTATATTGTCAATGTATTGGGCAATGTACATAAGAAAATATGTTCATGTTTCAGTACAATATATGTTTTTTGCATGATTACACCTTTCCTTTGATATTACTTTTATGTCAAAAACATCTTTCTGTCATGATACTTAATATCACAATAAATGTAATTTGTTTATTTAAATGTATGTGACTTTGGGTGTGGAAGGGGGGTTAGTCCTAAACCTACAGTTGATAGATAATTTTCGAACTTCAGGCTTGGTTCGCAACAGAAAACATGAAGTATCATCCCCTCCTGTCAGAAATGACGGAATGGAAGTTGCAGTTTTAGGACATGTACAAATGGATAATCGACAACCTATCAGACAAGTAGCTAGAGCGTCTAGTGTATCATCTATTAGTGTTTTTCGGATTTTGAAAGTCTACAAATTCCATCCTATCAAAATAAGGCTAGTTCAGGAATTAAACGAAAATGATCCTGATCATCGACTTCATTTTTGTGAGGTGTTCAGCGAGAAATTGACCAATAACCCTAAGCTATTATACCATTCATGTTTTTCAGATAAAAGTAAGTTGAATGGTGAAGTGAATAGACATAATGGGGAATGTTCCTCAATTTGGGTTATTACAGCAAATGAAAGTTTGAACAAAATAAAATTGAGTTTAATTCATGAGTTTTTCAAATTCACTTCAAAAAGTATTCAAATTGATGTTTTAAATGTTGGGTTTTAATTTTTAAAGGGATTTGTTTCTAATTCACATATTGGCAACAGCGCCTATATCAAGTTGAAATAATTTATACGTACCTAGATATTCTACTTTGAAAAAGGAAAATTATCTTCATAAATCAACAATTAGGGCAAAATATAAATTATAGTTCATATATACAATATAAATAACAATGTTAGACTAGGAATGCCAGACAAAACTTTAAATTAAAATGTATTAGCTATAACCGATGTTGCCAAATGGTCCAGTGAAGTGGCCAGCTAGATCACCTGGTCTCATACCGTTGGACTTCTTTCTGTGGGGACACCTGAAGTCGAAAGTGTACTGTACCAAGCCTACAAATCTAGAAGACCTGCGACAGAGAATTGTTCGGGAACGCCGATTTCTGACTCCGGTCATCTTGAATAATGCACGATACGCTTTCGAGAGTAGACTGTATTATTGTGTGGAATTAGCTGGAGGTCATTTTGAACAAATTATCCGTTGATTTTGTTTCCACTGATATTATTTGTTGTTGATTTCCTCAATTATATGAACGACGGCCAATTTTCTGTTTTTTTTTCAAATAAAACGTTGAACATTCAATTTTTCAATAACGAATGAACCAAATTCAAACAAAATTTCAGAGATAATAGAGGGACAAAAGACTTTTCGAATGATGTATCACTCGACCCCCCCCCATGCCATTGAAAAAAATAGGGGGGCAGTTGCTGATCTCAGGGGGCTGAAGTTTCAGTTATGTTTTCATATCAAAATTAGCCCCCTTGAAATAAAAATTGACGCGTTCTTTGAAATTTTCGATTACATGTCCGTTTCTGACTTACAGAGGGGTCAAGTTTTCGTTGGAAAGCCCTATATACAATCAAAACTTTGACAGAAATGTTTTTGTTTTAATGCAATAATATTTCTGAGAATTTAGTGCCTACTTTTATGGAATTGTACTGTAGTAGACTTCTCGAGTGTCTGCCCAATGAAAAAGGAATCCAATCGATTGAAAAACATAGGTTTCATAAGCGATTGTAGCTCTAATCACATAATCACTTTTCCGAACACAAAACATCAACGACTATCTCTCGTTTCGCATCAAACGCCGACGTCATTCGTCACTCTCATCCGCAGTGAGTGAACAAAAATCCGTTATCCTGCGCCTCCTCTCGGAGCCATCCATTCATTTTTCTTCCTTCCAATATGCCGCCCTGGATATGAAATGCATTTAGTGTTGTGCGATATATCATATTCTGTTCTTTTTCATTTCAGCGGCGCCCGAATGTGAGCCCGGACAGATTACGTGTCGTCAGTACATATGGAATAAAACATACTGTATCCCTCCGCACTTTCGATGCGACATGACGGTCGACTGTATAGATGGATCTGATGAGACGGAGTGTAGTAAGTAGATTTTTATATTATTTCATATATTTATATTATAAGAAGATATAAAGCTTCAAATCCTTTTTGTAGAATTTAATATTGAAATATATATTATTTATATTGCGTAGATTTCAAACCAAGTTACTTCACGATGTTTCGATCGTCATTATCCACAGTCGCTTTCTGGTGATGACTGGGCCATTTCTCCGTGAGATAACTATTTATAGGTCTTTCGAACGCTTTCACCTATCTTCACTTTCCTCTCTTCGCTTCACCGGTTCAACAGGAGTTGACCGTTCACCCGCTTGATTACAGGTATCCATACGTTGCGTATCTCCACGCTAGATCGGCTGAATGCGTCGTTGGACAACACATAATATGCAGCTTCTTTGAACTTCCTTCTGAACTAGTTTTCCCATTGTGAATGATCCCAGCTTGGGACTAGTTGATGAGTCCAAACAAGCTCTGCTATAGCCGATTCACTGGTTTCTCCTCGTTGTGTATTTCAATGGCCTCTTAGTTTCACCGATATAGGATTTGCCGCACTCTGGTAAATGCAATTCTTGGAATCGCAGTCTGCGTTTGGTGGCCTGGTTTTCGTGAGACTGCTACGGATGGTGTTTCGGATCTGAAGCAGGTTCTGATGTTTTACTTGAACCAATTCTTCTTATCCTTTCCAACAATGCTCTCACGTAGGCTCTCGTTGTCTTCTAGCCAAAGTCTGTTCCACGATCACTTCGGAATAAACATTCCGTTGAAGACCTTGTCTGATGATGCCTAGTTTCATCTCAAGACCTTCCTTCGTATTGTCGCAACTCAGTACTCACTTGGCTATTAACGAGAGGATTTTGTTCGCTGTTTCACCCATTCATCATTCATCCAAATAATGAAAGAACTCATTTGAAAACTTAATTAGATATTTATTGTAAAGAAACGAAAAAATACTTGAGGAATAAACTCACACTCTTATGTTAATAAAAAAATACATTAAAACACCAAAAACTTACATTGTACTGCCACCCAACAGGATTGAAGAGAAGGAGATGTGCTGCATTGCTGATGATCAATAGATACTCAAATGAATTTCTGAATACTGTCTGTTCATGATCAATATTCATGAAGATTCATACGGTGACATTGCAACTTTGATTTGGTCACTGTACTAAGGTAAAATGATCAGCATATGCGATATGTGCAAAGTTTGCGTATTTTGAGATTGTTTTATATTTCTATATCCTGTGATCGTATCAATTTCGATGTCTATGAACTGGAATATTAAAAGATGAAATTCTGAATACTGAGTGTTTTTTGTTTTAGAATATTGAAGTTGAGGTTGGAACATCTGTCAATTCATGTATTTACTTAAATGAATTTGAATTAGTTCATGATTATTTTCCATATTTGACAGTATTACAGAGCCAGAAAGCACGATACACTAGAGTATTGATGGATCCTCTTTTGGTATATTGATGATGGTTGGTTCCTTTTTCATAGCATTCACATCATTGGTATTCAATTACAATTCAAGAAATTCAAATTACTGGGCTATACAGCCTATTTTATTTCGTAGCATTCAGATCATTGGCTACCAATTATAGTTCAAGGAATTGAAATCAAACAGCCATTCAGCCCACATTCTTTCATAGTAAACACGTTATTGGTATCTGCATAGAGTCTGAATCATATTTTATATTGTAATAGAGTTGAACCTATTTTAGAACAACTTTCAAGGGTCTCCACTAACTGGACAATGTTAGTCTGCGAATAGAAGACCTGTGGAAGATTCCCACTTTTTCTTTTGTATCAAGATGGAGTAGTAGAAAGCCAAAAACTTTCTTTCCCAAAGCCTGTAACTTCTACCACTTCGGAATTAGGAAGAAGGTACATACCTTCGATGTCTGTTAGCCTAGTTGATCCACGATTGATATTGAAGGAGGAGATGCCTTTTTCCATCCCCGTTGTACACCATCTATTCAGCTCAGGTGTAATAACATCGGAATATGATGTCGCGAAATCAGAAAGTTTGGAATCCCCATCCTTAGTCAATATTGGCAGTTCCCAAGAGACTACAGATAATCTCCCATTTCCACCCCCTCTCTAAATATACGCACTAACTAAGTATCTTCGCCACCGCTCAATATCGAGCCTAAATTCATGCTAACATAACCGTCGGCTTGAGCAGTAATAATTCAAGATCCCAACTCCCGACGAGTTTCATATTACTGTCGTCATTCACCATCAGGAAATCGTTAAGCGGAATTGTTTCCAAGGAGAGGGTAATAATTAGGAGATATTTGAGTTGTAAGCTCGACTAAGTTTTCTTTTAATTTATTACACGGTCGTAATTAGAGACTGCTGAAGGAACAGTGAGCTTTTTAACTAGCTATCAAGGAGCGGAGACGTTATTTGTTTTGTACCCCGCTGCTCGAGCAAAATAATCTTACCGTGAAGTTAAAGTTTTGGGGTGTTGCGACACGAAATTGAAGAGATTACGAGGTGATTACGTCAGGGAAAATATCCCAGAATTAGGGATTAGGAACAATGTACGAGGTAGATTAATCGAAATATCCAACATGTTAATGGTATTATTATCAATCCGTTCTGTTGTTCCATAGTATCTGGGACAACAGAACAGCAGCATACCTGTCAACAACGTGGACGAATCAAAACAACCTAATAATATTGTCGACCAATCAGAACAACCCAGCGGACCAATCAGAAGTGGGCTTTCACATAGACATCTGGCCTCTACCCCCACCACCACTCGAAAGTTATAAACGAGTGAATACGGAGCTCGGCAGTCAGTCGTTGTTGAGGCTTCATCCTAGCATTCAACGCACATAACATTGATGATATTTGACAGCAGTTACAGACGAAACGTTTGATACTACAAGTTCCCTTCGAGCTCAGCCTACCAACTCGGATTTTGTTCCTTTCAATTTGGGGCAATATTTTCATCAATATCGATTCATTAGACGTTGAATTGGTTGGAACTAATACCACACTTTTGGAATTATCAAGTTGACTGTTTTCGCTGATGAGCAGCAGATAAGAATTGTTGTACGGAACTTGATAGAGGCCATTTTGAGCAATATTTTCATTGGTTTTGATCCCATAGATGTTCGATCAGTTGGAACTGACATCCTAACTGTATAATTCATTTTTTGAAAACATCCGAAGTAATTCAGACGATACCGAGATCGGAAAAAGCTCTAATGAAGAATCGTTTCAGTTGAGATAGTTGGGGGAAATCCTATTTGTCCCCGTTGAACTTTTGAGTGGTACTATCATTGATTTTGTTCCCATGAATGCTTGACCAATAGTAGCAAATACATCGTCCTTTAAAAAACATGAATTGAAAGTTTCTGCCGTTTTTTTTGTGTCAATGGCATCGACTACTCTGGTCATTAGCCTCGTGTTCTGAGTAGGTAATGTTAATACATCGGCCATGTAACGATGCAGAATCATCCCAACTTCCACTATATAGATGAATTACCCCAAGAAAAAGTATCTGGTTGAGGTAGGGATGAAACTCACGACCTCTAGATTGGGAGTTGGGTGCACTCCTTCTGCGCCAATTCAATGCTGTTCCTGCTGTAATGCAGATATGTCACTGTTGTATAGAACTTGGTGGAAGTTATTTGGAGCAAGCTAATACTCCACCTCCAGAATTCTTTCTTTGGAAACACTTGAAGTTGACAAAATTTGCTGAGATGCACAACTTATTTTACTTGTGGCTTTCACCAACCTTTGTTATAACTTGTGGGTAATACGTCATCTCTGTCAGTATCATGAAACCAAAGAACAATCTCATACTACTTCGTCACAGAATATAATACACAGAATGAATACTTAAGTAATGACACTAGGTGGCAGCACCACTCACATAACAAACATGAGATATTGTTGCAACTCAGTACCCGCTTGGCTTATTAACGAGAGGATTTTATTCGCTGTTTCACCCATTCATCGTTCATCTAAATAATGAAAGAACTCATTTTAAAACTTAATTAAATATTTATTGTAACGAAACTGGGAAAATACTTCAAGAATTTACTTACATTATACTGCCACCCAACAGGGTCGACAGTTGCAACTTTGATCCGGTCACTGTACTAAAGTAACATGCTCAGTATGCAATCTGTATTTGGAGATTGTTTTATATTTCTATATCATGTGATCGTATCAATTTCGATATCTATGAACTTGGAATATTAAAAGATGGAATTCTGAATACTGAGTGTTTTTGTTTTAGAATATTGAAGTTGAGGTTAGGACATCTTTCAATTCATGTATTTACTTAAATAAATTAGAATTATTTCATGATTATTTTCCATATTTGACAATATAAATGTACTCGTAATATTAACAGCATTGTTTGAAGGTGATTGACAATGTTTCATGGTGAATTTCACTAGTTCGGACTTCCATTGTCTACTATATAAATTGATTTGAAATCCCTGAAACAACTAAAAAAAAATAATTAAAAATGAATAGCTGAAAATAACAATTATATTAAGCAAAATGAACCTGAAATGAAATAATAGTGANTTAATATAATTGTTATTTTCAGCTATTCATTTTCAATTCTTCTTTTTTTTAGTTGTTTCAGGGATTTCAAATCATTTTATATAGTAGACAATGGAAGTCCGAACTAGTGAAATTAACAGCATTACTTCAAATATATTTGATTCGAGCTTTAATTATTTTATAACCCGATACATCTAGTATCGATTTCCGTAACTTATTCAAGACATTCGACACGTACGTAAAGGGAATTGCAAACGACATGTTGTCGAGGAAGCACCGGATCCTATGAAATGAACGAATATATTATTTAAAGCGAATGCAACTCCGGAATTTGAAATACGATCGATAACATGCACACTCGTTCTGTTTTACCAACAATTGAAACGGCGTATCGAATCATTCGAATATTCATTCGAAAATGTGAAATGTTTCGTTTCCTATTTCGACCGGATCTGCTGGAACGGAAACCATATAAAATTTATCGAAAC